GGAAAAAAAAAGTGTACTATTCTCTAGTTGTCTACTGAATAACTGCTTTTTTTCACTGCTTCATTACATACAAAAGTGCCTGAATAATCAATAATTCAGAGATCATTAAATCTGAAAGCAGAATCTGAAAGCTTGAAAAGAAGCTGAAGTGTTCCTGGCCAATGTAAAAATGTGATGCAACTTGAGTGATAGAAAAATTCTCAGAAGGAAAGGCTGTAAACTCACTTCTAGATGCTCAGTTAAGATGATACCTACATGTCATATATGCCAATACTTTATTTAATAGATAGGGTTTTTAAAAAATGAAACCTATTTCTTAATTGATTCCAATAATTCATGTATGTATAATTCCTATAACACGTGAAAATAAGCAAAGATTTTTTGAAAATTTTAATATTCAAAATGTAATAAGTACACTTGCATTGGTTATTTGTCATGTGTGATTTAGAATTTTGGGGGTGGCTGTTATAGAATTTACTTATATATGTTATTACCCCTTTAAATACTATCATTGTTGTAATACAAATTTCCACAGCTTGTTGTGTAATTAGAGGGCAAAAAATACAATAAATTTTACTTCTAAGCAACACTTAAATGAAGAAAAAACAAGTGGGCCCTCCTTCTACTTATTCTGATAGACAGCAGCATCCGCGTGTTGATGCAGCAGAGCCCCAAATATTCAGAAAGTCTACTGAATGAAAGAAACAGTACAAGCAGAACAAATACAGTGACTCACACTCCTAAGAACAGTGAACACCACCTAAAAGCCAAAGTTTAATTTACTTAAATAGTTAACAAAAATTTATTGCAAGGTATTTTTCACTGAATTTACAGTTTCAAGGAACATGGTACAAAACATAGTGCCATCAGCTCTGTCTAAACATTAAATAGATGCAAATACACAAAGATTAGAAAAAACCAAGGAGCATACTTTACAACATAAATTACAGTACTATAAATATATTTTATGTACATTATACATACCCTTAAGACATCATTTTAGTATACAGCATATAGTGTATTGATTTTCAAACTATTTAGTGCTTTAATAATATTATATATCAGTAACATAAGAATTTATTTGCATCATTAAACTTACAGTAAATGATTTGAAATCACCGAGGCCACACTTCGGCCAGTTTATTTCCATCAGTTGAATAGCCAGGTGTGGGTTAGCTGCGGTTTTCACGTAAGTATTTGCTTCCCACTGGAAGGTATGACTAGAAGAGAGGCTGCAGAGGGATGACGGTAGGGTGTGGAGAAAGCAGTGAAGGAAAGAGTGCATGGGGTAGAGGGGGAAAAGCCAGGTGGCCGGAATGAAGAACTGAGGCTGGAATGATTGGCATCTGAGGAGGGGAAACAAAGGTGGGCTGGTTCCCAGGGCACAACCTAGGTCCCACTGGTCCCACTGAGATCTGAGGTATAGATGTTCTGGTGAGAGCTGGGACTTGGGAAAGAAATTGTTGGTGTGGCTGAAGCACTTTAAAGGTTCCTGCAGCTGCCGCGGCGGCGGCTGCTGCAGCGGCTGCTGCATGCTGCTGCAAAACAGTGTGGTGGATGGTGGTCACAGAGGTAGAACGCAAAGGCTGCTGCAGAGGCAGAGGCTGTAGGGATGTTGCGGGGGCTGGGAAGGGAGCTGGAGGAAAGCTAAGCCTGACCTTATTGGCCAGCATGTTTGGCTGTATAATGTGCTGGTAAACCTCACAAGGTAGAGGTTTGAATTTCTCACCGTTTTCTAGTGGGATCAATAACGCTTGCTCGGGTAAAGCTAAAGGAGCCAGGATCTGCTCAGTTGTAATGAATGTATGACCGCTGACATGTGCTTCCTTGAATGGTAATGGTGGCTGTGTGTTAAGGATTCCTGAATTATAACACAGCCACTCTGTTGAGGCCTCGTTCATCTTTCCTTGTGGAAGGGCCTCGGCCAGTTCATAGTGGCAAAGATATGATCTAGGCTGCGACTGTTTAAAGTTCCTTTCAATATTAGGCACCTTGAAAGGAACTTGCTTTTCATTAATATTTGTAGTCTCACTTCTGTCTTTGTGTTCCAGTGAGGTGGTGTTGCTTGTTTCTTTTGTTTGGGGGTGAGCTACATGCACAGATGTGATGGAATCACTGGAAATCGCTGACGATTCGTCAGAATTGATCTCCATCCCTAAGTGCTCAGCTTCACCACTGGTTTCTGAAGGACCGAGGTTGCTAGGGAGTAAAGCCAATTTGTCTTTTACTTGGACTGTTTGCTCTGAGTTCCTTCCAGCAGTTGCAACTTCCTGAGGTTTTGTTCTTTCTGTTTTGTCTTCACTTATGAACCCATCCAGGTGATTCAATGAAGAACTCCTTTTCATGGAATTATCTGCATTTTCACTGACATCCGACGTTTCACCTCCCATGTGGAATCTGCTTCTTTTCCTTCTTCGCTTCTTTTTAGGCTTATAGGGAGCAACGGAAGCGCTTGCTGATCTCAAAAATTCTTCTGGTAAATAATGCTGTCGACTTAAACTTTCATCTGAAGAGTAAGAATGCGAATGCTGCCTGCGTTTTCGGTGGAATCGTTCTGATTCATTCATGAGAGAATTGTAACCTCTCTTAACAGGCTGATTCTGACTCATGTGTTTTGTGTCATTTTGAAGAACTAAGCATCTGTGATCCTGACTATAGCGTGACAGTCTGGTTTTCCAACAACAGTAAGCTCTGGAGTATGTTACATTATGCTTGCCAGAATATATCATTGTTGGATTTGATTGTCCACTGAAAAGCATTCTGTTCTTTTTGCAGTAGGTTTTAGAACTGATAGGGTCATTGCTATTGTAGTCAGTCTTCCACGTTTCACACATTTCTTCATTTTCAGATGCTGATTTAGGCCTTTTATCAGGTAACTGATGTGAGTCCAATAATTGCTCTGTTACTGAATATTGCTTTTCCGAAATTGTTTCCAGGAAAATTTTCCTAGTTTTACCAGTGGAGCTAGTCTCCATTTCCAGTTTGCAGTGAGGTTCTGATTCTTTGGTTTTCTCCCTGTGGTGATGAGGCTGACAAAACTTTCTTGTTTTCTTTCCCCTACTTGTATGGAACCAAAGTTCATGAGTATCCTTCAACCTTAGTTTGTTGTATTTCTTGTCTACAAAGTCTTGTTTTATGTGATTCTTAGTAAAATTATATTTTTCTGTTTTCCTGATTCTACAGGAAATATTTCTAAACCTCTGATCCATGTTCTCATTTTTTCCAGAGTCACATATATTAGAAAGACTGTTGTCTGGCAAAACAGGAGTGATCTGGGTATATTCATTTTCTGTACCACCAATTTCACATTCTATGAATCCTGCCATAGTTAGGTCCTTGCAGCCTGGAACTGGTCTCTTATAGAGATCTTCTCCCTTCTGCTGAGCACAAAGATCATTTAAAGGCAGCTTATTTTTATCTGGATTATTTTTTAATTTAGTGGACTTGAAGTCAAAACAGAGAGGATTACAGCTGTAGGAAATTGAAGGTTCTGTGTTTGTGTAAACTAGCATTTCTGATGGCCACTGCAGGACTGTAGATCCATGTTTATTAAATACAGGGACAAATGGCTCAGACTGTCTTTTATGCAGATCTGTTTTTTTAGGTAAGGTTATTGTATCCATTTCAGTGTTTGTAGGGGCCAGTGTCTCCTGACCATTTTTATTTTCAGTTTCAATTGTGGATGCATCATTATTGTTTACATTTTCCTCTGCAGTAGCTTGCACAGATATACACTCATCAGACATATTAGGAATTGTAGGTTTATTCTCTAACAACTCAGAGCTGTTACCACTTAGAGGTACCTCTTCACTAACAGTAATATCTTCCATGGGCATTTGATCTGCTAATGGGAGTGAACCTTTGCAACTGTCCGCTTCAGAACATAAAGAGAGTTGCACCTGGCAAAACGAAGGCAATGAAAATGCATCTTTTTCACTGGAGACTTCTTTCATCTCTTGAGTTCGAGCAGTTTCTTTGTCACGGCACATTGCCTCTGCTGGATAGGAGGAGTCAGCTTTCTCCTCAGAACTCAAAAGCGCATCTGTTGGGGAAGATCGTTGTGGCTGACAAGCACTAGGAACAAACCTACTTTTCCTGCTAAACTCTTTTCCCACAGAGGCTTCATCATTGCTTTCAGAGAAGGCTGCCGCTGAGGACTCCAACTTCACCAATGCTTTCTTTGGAAATGCAAAGGAAAAGCCAATTTTGTGCCTATGAATTCCCTGGGCTTGGTCTCCAAGTTGATTCTTATTTGCTGCATAGCTGTTTGCGACTTTGGAATCTGCAGCGACTGTGGTGACATCTTTAGTATGCTCTTCGCTATGAATCAAAATACATTTGGAATCTTGCTGGTCGTTAACTGAATCCACAACAACTCTTTGGGAAATTTCGTTATGATTTTCTCTCACAGTAACAGTTGTTGACTTGAACATGGGGCCACTTCCAGGAGCACTACAAAAAGAAAGCAAAGTGTATGTGAAATTCAACACTCTGGAGGAATAATAGTCAAGCACATATCTAAAATGTCACTAAGTTTTGAGATTTTTCAAATTTTAACATCTTTGTAAGATAATTACTTCACTACGGTGCAGATGCTTTGCATAATATCACAGTATCATTTTGCTCTGCTTATTTTTTTAGCTAACTTGAAAGATATCATCTTGAAATTACCAGGAGTGCTGTAAAGAGCGATGCATAGGACCTTCCTATGCTCTCAAACTTGTGCTTCTGGGTCGTTTATTGTTTAATCTCCATGCCTTCATCTTCAATGAAATTTTGTAGTGTTATAAAATTCTCTAAAGCAAATCTATTTTTTAACAAAAATAGTTGATATCATTGATGTTACGTGAAAAATAGGAATGAAATTGAAATCTAAACTCAATCATGACTTACAAAGATTGGGAATTTGGTTCAACCAATTCATTTCATCCATTATTCACACAACCAACATTCGCTGAGTTTCTACCTCCGAGAAAGTGGTTTGGTTTGCTGTCATGCAAAGATAGCTAACAAATGGGCTTAGCTGGATGAGAGCTGGCAGTGTTTTAGAAATGCTAGATTCCATATTTAATGTTAGATTGAGTGTGTATATTATATCATAAAATATAGTAGTGCAGGATAAAAGAGTACCTGAGATTTGAATTATATTCATTTTCCATTATATTATAGTACATCATGATATTTCTGAATTAAAGAACCACACTGTTCAACATATAAATGTAGGAAATCCCGAAATCTTCTCTGTACCACAGCAGAATTATCTTGTACAGAATTTTCCATTCTACTTAAAAAATTCAGTATTCTATAATTTATAAATACTGAACCATTTGCATTGGAATATTTTCTTTATATAACTACACACACAGTGCACCGCGCCCTTGTCATATCTGCTACTAAATAACAGCACCAATTTCTACCTGCACATTTTTAGAAGCACAAAATTGATGGGAAATTGTGTTTGTAATATGTTTGCGTGTGTGTGTGTATGTGTGTGTGCATGTGTGTGCGTGTGCGCGCTAAGTGAAATATGTACTCTATATTAAGGATAATAATTTAGGTAAGAAATACATACTCTTTTTGTATACATATTGTTAACTCAACTTCTCAATATATCTGAAAATGCCACTTCTAGAACACTAAATTACATATGTCCTGTGATTCTCTATAGCATTAACTTGGACAATTTTCCATTTGTTTCCACAGAGCAAATGTATCTATTAGTATAACTGAAGAACGATTATATTCATTTTTTATAACAGTTCCATGCAGCACTCTAAACTCATTTAATTTTACTTTGATTTTATCAAATTTTGGTATCCCTAAAATATGTCAGTATATCTCATAACACTTTTGTGACGTATTTTGATAGGTCAACATATCCCATAACGCTTTTCAGTGTAAAATAGATTCCATATAATATAACTTTGATACATACAGTAATGAGAATTTTTATTTACTGGGGGGAAAAGGACACTTTGAAAAGTGGTCTTATTTTAACAACACCGTTGTGCCTGGGATTGCAAGTTCCCAATTATATTGTGAGAAGCAGGTCAAAGTTGAAGAGTTGAGAAATTCTAGTAAGGCATGGTGGTGCATGTCAGTAACTCCAGCCCTCACGGGCTGGGGTGGTGGAAGCAAAACGCAAGTTCAAGCCCAGTCTGGTCTACACAGCACAACTGCCACAAAAAAAGAGCTGCGACCTTCTAACAGTCTAGTTTTATTCACAGTGGAGCTAATTTTGAATTACTTCAAAAGTACACAATACATTCCTGACCCTTGTTTTAATTTTGAAAGATAATTTCAAAGAAATTTTTCATGTAAAATAAATTGCTCTTAAAAGTCCTTTTGCAACAAAGGTTGTAAGACAGGACCTCGCCTTGCTCTCTTCTTCAACAAATGTTGTGAATTCATCAAGAAATGGGTTATCTTTCAATTAAGATAGCTTAAGTAACAGCATAATGACAAATTTATTTTTTACAAACCAAAATTATAGTAATTTTAGCTTTTTATGGAAATGTACATTAAATAGGTGTTTGCATCAAATTCAAATTCAAATGACTATTTACAGCCTGCATAAGGCCACGAAAACATGTGTGCCTTACTCTGGGTACAGAAATAAATAGATTCCTGCCCTTTATTTTCAACTCCCCACCCCCAACCCAGGTCATATTTTAAGAAAATGTAACATTTCCCTAGGTACTCACCACACAGTTTCCTTTCTTAGCTCAGCCAGCTTGTGCAGGCGTTGGAGGGCCTTTTCCTGTTTTCTTACATCTTTCCTGGATTTAGACGCTACATTTCGAGCAAATTCCCTTTGTTTCAGTTCTTTGAGCCTCTATTAAAAAATATGAAAACAATTAATAGTTTTTGGGTCTATGGCCCTTTTAAAGATTTATTGTTGTTGGAATTTTCCAATAAATGTCTTTGTCCTCATCAAAGAAGAAACAAAACATGAGTGAAAACAAGCTGCTAACAAGCGTTTTGTTCCTTTTTGCCTTGTGAAAATGCCAAAGCACACCGTCACATTGCAGTGAAACATATATCTATGCCTGGGGTAAACTGAAATTGAAAACTTTTATATCTTCTTATTGATTGTTGTCTGCTAAGTTTCTCTGCCTAATTCAGATGATACATTAAAATCTTATAAACCACTAAGTTTCAAACCAATTCAGTTGACTTGTGCATTCTAGTTATATATGATAAAATCCCTCCTACTTTGCTGTGTTCTATACAAGGAAGTTCTGTGGTCATTTTCATGTTTTGCAACAGTAAATGTCTCATGTTATTCCATAATGCACTTTTCTATGGGCATGATTTAAAACAACGCCTCTCAAAAATCAGGCCACTCCTCAAATAATTTATGACCCTGGGGGAAAATTATTATTTTTCTGATAATTCTTAGTATTTAGGACATTATTTTTCTGTTGAATTAGAGGATTTTATTTTTGAGGTTGAAGGGCAGATATGTAGCATATAGACTTAAATGAAATTGATGAATTATCAAGAGTTGTGTCATTTATGGGGAATCAAAATTGTCCCATGCTGCGAACTTTCACTGTGATTTCTCGTGGAGACAGTGTAAAGTTAGTAAGATTGACTAAAGTAGCATTTTTTCTCAGTGGTTCATATTGTTAGGTGATTGCAATATATAAGAAATTTAGAGAAGTTTAAGAAATTAAGATTATACTAGTCATATTTTAATGAACTTACTAAAATTTGTTTTTGTATGTACTGTATACAGTTACACTGATTTATACCAGAAGTTTAGAATATGTCTGGTATGCAAAATTCCTACTTAATATATTTTTGTTAAGTTATTATGTGAACAGTTTATAACTTCCAGAATATCAATGGAACCCTTTAAAAGTTACTTATTCTGACTAAATAATATTAGGCATTTGGTGGTACTGAATTGTGTCTCTTGATTTCATTTACACAGCATCATCTATCTGAAGCCATATATAACATAGACATAGATTCACATTCAAGTGATTTCTAGCAGTTTAATGAGTTGTATAGAAGGTATGTGCATATATTTACATATTTCTGTCATCTACGTGTATCTAGTGATATTCCTAGATTAGTTTTAATTTTACAAAGAATTTAAGAATGCTTTCTTGCGCTGACATATTTCTGCAGGAATTTTTCCAGCATAGAATTTAGATAAAAAATAGACTGCTTCATAAATAAACTGCACACATGTCATATAAACTTTGATATCCCATTGATATGCTATCAAAAGTAGCTACGATTGTGGGATGTGAATTCAATTCTTTTGATCTTAAAAACAAATCTAGAATTAGAATGTCATAGGTCATGAAATTTTTACTTCTTAATTTTAGTAATTAATAGTCTTGTTCATCTATATTTTTTCAAAGACTTCAAGGTATATCAAGACCCAAAGGGTAATTATGGAGCACTAGTAATAATCACTTTGTTCAATGGCTGGGAATATTAAAAAATAGTTTTATTGTCATTGCTTCTGTCTCTGCACATATGTGTAGGCAAATGTGTGTATATGAATTTGTGTGTGTATGTGCATTTTGCAGAAATAGGGAGAGAATACATTTAGAATTGAATTATTCTTACAGGTCCATATAAGGACCTGCAGGGATGTTCAAAAAACACCAAGGAGGGCTATCTGGAAAGGAAGATCTGAACTGATTCTTGAATAATGTATAGTATTAGCCTGCAGAAGAAAGGTTAGACATTGGGCACAGGAGGGTATTTCAGGAAATAAAACATTCTGTACAAATAGAGATAGAAACATATGTATTCTAAATAATACTGATGTACAAAATATGAATAGTGCAGTGTGCATGCAGAAATAATGGGAACTATGCATAATATGCCAAACCACGAGGATCTTATCGGTCATATTTGTCTCCTATATTTCCTTTACCTAGAAGCGCTGCCCACCTTTACAAGAACCAACAGCCAGTCAAGAGAGGTGAACTCTAGAATTCCTGGGTGCTAGAAGAAGGTTGCTAAAGGAAAAAGAAGTAAAGTTTTCTAAAATAAATGCTTCACAGAATTAAAGTGCCAAGGGAACTAAAGAAAAAAAGTTGCAATATCAGTGAAAGAGCTAATCATTAAGGAATATTTTATTACTGTATTATTTATTTATGTCTGCATAGTTTTATTATAACAGGCATGATACTATTCCCTGGTAATAACCTTGGGATATAGGAGGCAACAAACAAAAAAGAAAGGTTTTACTACTTTTAACACAATATTTAGTATGAAAGGTAACCGATTATGTAAACATATATAGTAAATAAATTACATATATTTACATAGGGTGAAAAACACTGCATAATACTTTGAGTGAAAGCCAAGCTTCATTTTTGAAGCAAGTATATAAAGTGCCACGACTCTACTAATTCTTCTTCCAAATTAGACATGATGATTCATCTGTCTCCATTGATAGAGTAGCTGAATATCGAAGAAACAGCCTGTTAGAAAACACCAGCTGTAAGTCTCTCTGCAATAAAACTGACTGTTGCGTATGGCTCATGGAGGTAACTGTGTGCACTTAAAGCATATAATCTCAGTCTTGCTGAGGCTGTCCAGGTGAGCCAGCATTCTCACTAATCTCGATCATAAATGGATACATACTTTTCTTAGGCTTAGACCTCCTGATACTAAAGTTAACCAGTCTAGTTAGTATGCTGATATCAGCTGCAGAGCATATTGATCTGAACCAAGTTTGGGGAGAGTTAAGGCTAGAATTCATACATTTTTAATATCCCTTCTTGTAATTTTTTGAAGCATAAATTCAATATTCTCTTTAGGGAGTAAGTTTGAAAGATAACTAACAGAAGTTAAGTGCATTTGTTTGAGAATTTCAAATAAAAACAATGTAACTTAATTTTCACATAAATACATAAGGTAATACTTAGGAGTTTTCGGAAATATCAAGGATAAAGCTTCTTTGAGAGTTTATTGAGGATTACTCAAAAAATTTTAATGAAAACTATCAGGGCAGAAATGTCAGCCATCAGGAATTGGGCAATGGCATATTATTCAATGTATTCTTTGGAAATATGCACGTAGCAAATTACAAAGCACAGAGAGCCAATATTTCTTGGAATGGAAGCTTCTCAGAAGCCCTACTCTCTATCTCCTCACTACTGTTATCAGCTTGATAGGGAGCAAAGCAACACTGGAAAAATCAAGGTTAGTTTTCAGAAACCCATGAAGTTGGAAGTGTCAGTTGATCTTGGTCCCAGGTTCGTGAATGAGGTTGAGAGACTGACTAATCAGTAGTCAATATGAGAAGAGGGAGGGAGAGGAAGAATACATTCTGGACAACAATGAGAGAAAATCCATTACTCTGTGTGGGATTATTTATCACTTTGTGCATAAACGTGTATGTCAACTACATTATTTTACCATCTAAAACCAAATTGTTATAGACATTTTTACCTCTATGTAACTGTCCAATCACAGCATCGGCTCCTGCAATTTGAATTGCTGCAATAAACTATTTGTATATGATCTTTCTGAGGCTCTTATTGTTTCACAAACAGCTCTTTAAAAGGACTTTGCATTGTTTTTTTTTTTTTTTGCTCCTTTCATTGTATATGAGATTCTGTACCACATCCTGTGCTCATTGGCATCACTCACTTTTAAATTTGATCATAGTTAAAATTCTTACATATGTACCCTGTTTATTTCTTTATTTAGAACTGATGTTATTCCTTAACAGGTATTTAGTATATTCCATATGCTACCTTGAACTTGGAAATAACATACAGAATACAAAGCTTGCATATTATTTATATTTAGAAATGATAAAGCTGAATCTAATCAAATTTTAGACTTTTCCAGCATTATTACAAGTGGCAGAACAAACATTGGAGTCAGGATTTCCTGGAACATGCCTGTGATTTTCCTCCGGTATTTATTCTGCTCTATGTCAGTCCAGCTGTCTAACTCTTCAAGGTTGGCTGGCTTGCTTGGCTGTGATACATACAGTCATTTATCTTTAACCAAGTGTCCAGTATTTTTTAGGTGATTTTTTAATCACCACTGATATATTTTTGTCAAAAAAGAAAAAAAAAACTTCTACTTTTCTTATGATTTTTCATCATAGTTGAGAGAGATAGCCTTTAAAACCTGTAAGTGTGTTAACTGCATGGCGTAATAGAGAAAATCCATGTGGATTAAATAAAAAGAGGGCTTCTGGACATGTGGCTAGTAAAAGGACAGCTAATTCAAAGGCAATTTTTGGAGAGGCTTTTCTGATGTTCTATTGTTTGGTGTGACAAATAACTGTAAATTCATCTTTACTAAAAGTAGTACGTATTTATTATGATTTTTTATTTCTGGGTCAGTATGCCTGTCTGTCCTTTGTTCAATAAAAGTATTTCTGGGGTGAATTTTCATTTAGAAGCTTCTCCAGGAATTAAAAAGAATCTTTTTTCAAGCTCCCTAAAATCATTGCCTGAATTCACGACCTTGAGGTTGTCGGACTGAGATATGTGCTTTCTGCTGGCTTTCAGCCAGAGCCATTCAACATCTAGAGGCTCTGGCAGTTTCATGCCCCAGGGAACTCTCACAAGCTTTCTGAAAACATGACAGCCTCTCCAACATCAACAAGAATTCCCCTCTCCAATCTGCTAAAATGAAGTCCTGTGTATGATAATGTATGCAAGACTCCCGAGTAATCGAGTGGCATCCTGTTGACCCTCATATTTCATGATTTGGGATCAAGTCACAGGTCTCATCCATACCAAAGTGAATTATATCAAAACACTATTCTTTGGGAAGGCTCTTAGGTTGTTTTGACCATGCAAGATCACCTTGAGGTGATTATGTTCAGCAAAGATT